CACGTACTGAGGCACCAGCCTGGTCTCTCTTCTTGGCGTCTGTCCCTCACCCCATCCATCCTCTACACTGTGGCCAGTTGTCTTTCTGGTTGTGTCTTTTCCTTGCTTGATATGCTTCCCCTCACGTGTCATGAGCCACACCTTCCAGTCATACTAAATTCCCGTGTTCTGCAGACACACTGTGTATCTTCTGTCCACGAGCTTTGCTTGAGCCACTTCTTTTGGCCAGAACAGCCTCTCGTGTACACTGCAAGCTTGTGCTTGCTCAAATGTCACCTTCGGTGGAACTTCCTGTTACTCATCCCCGTAGTCCTCCTGGACGGTATTTGCCATGCCTCCTCCTGGCGCCCTCAAACACTAAGTGCGGCCTTTGGTTATGGAGTTCTCATACTCTGGGCAATTTAAGTAGATGCCCAATAAACGTCTACTTAATAAACTGATGTGGATTGGTGTGCTTATAAGTATGGGGCTCTCTCTGTGATCCATAGCTCTGAATAGAAGTCTATATTCTATGCATATGGAGATAAGGAAATGGAGATCCTATTTCAGTTGAGAAAAATGTTATTTTCTCAATTATGGTCTTCCCATGTCAGCCTCTTTCAACATCTTATTTCTTCCGACTAAATAATTTTGTACGTGGACTCTGGCATCAGGCAGGTTTGAGGGCACATTTCACTGCCTGCGTGGCTGTGCGCCGTGCACACTACCCTTCACAGCTTCATGCTTTAGTTTTCTCAACTGTGAAAGATGATGACGACAGCACTTCCTAAGGCTGCTCCAGCACAGAGAGGGAAGGCATGTGAAGCACTGAGCAGCGTCGGGCACACTCGTGCTTGAGACACACGGTCGTCACTGTTAGAATCAGTGACCGTGGAAGGTCTGGGAGACTTGTAGACCCAGGATCTTCACTGTGTTGCACTAAAACACCAATCAGATTCCAGAAGCCTCGGAGAATAATTTTGATTACTTCTCTAGAACAGCCTTTAATTGGGCTTCATGTGAACCACAGAACTGAGCAAATGACAGGGGTGGCAGTTTTCTCAATTCTCTCAAGGATGCTACATTAATCCCATGAGTAAGTTTCTTCTTCCTATCTAGAGCGCGCTTAGGCCGCCGAGGCTTCACCCTGCCCTGCCCCTCCCCTCTGCAGGCGGCTCTGATCTTAGTCTGGGCTAAGAGCTCAGCATAGTGCGTCAGCCGCCCCTCAGGGCGCTCTCCTAAACCTCTCACTTCCCCAGCATTTTCTCACTTGTAACATCAAAAAAGCCAAACCCACTGCCATCGAGTTGATTGATTCCAACTCACAGCAGTCCCCACTGGGTTTCCAAGGCTGTAAATCTTTAAGGAAGTGGATTGCCTCATCTTTCTCCTGCAGAGCAGCTGGTGGGTTTGAACCACCAACCTTCTGGTTAGCAGCCAAATGCCTTACCCTACCCGCTACACCACCAGAGCTCCTTTAGAGCAGCTGCTAAAATCCCTCCCCCACTCCCATGCAATTTGCTCCTGGAATACCATTCATTCGCTCCTTCTCCCTGTTCGGCTCCCCCCACAGCCAATAGTTCTCACAGATATCACCCCACTTTTCTTGGAAGAACAATGGCAGCCATTCCCCATCCTTGTACTTCCTCCACCCTCAGAATAGCAGTGAATTATTATTTCCAAGAAAATCACCACCAATAAGTGGACCACACAGCCTTCAATATGACTGACGTCTGTTCCACCCCCCCCCCCGACTTTTCTAACTCCTCTGGTTGCTTGCTACTTCAAATGGCTCTCCTTGACAAGACTACAGAATTATCTGGGCATGTGCGTTAGCCGCACCACCCTCAAGCTGTTGAGGCATCTGCCTGACCAGTGCTGACTGGCTGGCAGAATGAGCGTGCTCTTCCCAGGGCCATTCCTATTTCCAGTTCTTCCTAACTGCAGAGAAGGCCCATGTTGTCTTCCAGAAAGGCAGCAGGCATTTTTGACTTGGGGGTTGTCAATGGTAGATCATGGTATCTATCGTTCCTGTTAGGAAGAATCTGGGTAGGCAATCGGCAGTGTTTGCCACAATTCGTAGAATGGAATATCATATAGCCACGACTTTCTGAAGAATATTTATTGACATGGGAAAATGCTCACAATGTGTTAAAGACGAAAGCAGGATACAAATCTGTAAATACAGCATGATCCCAATCTTGTAGTAAAATAAATTATATATGCATAGAAAAAATATCGGAAGAAAGACACTAAAACATTAACAGTAATTATCTCAGGGTAGTAAGGTTGGGGGTCAATTATTAATTGTATTATTTTCTGCATTTTCCAAACTTTCTGCAACAAACATGTTTTACTTCTATAATCGGGGAGAAAGGAAGTCAGTGCAGGTGACACACAGCACTGGGCGGCAGTGGACTGCAGTGGCCGAGCGGCCGTGGGGGTCTCTGCACGGCCTCAGCCTGTGTTCTCACTCGTAAAGGAGGCACAGCATCCACCCTGCCAGCCCCCAGGGCACTGAGAGTGCGAAAGGGCCACAAACGTCTGCTGTTACTCGAGTCTCAAATGTCTTGTTTTAGGACATGCTCCTCCATATCCTGCTTCAAAGGTCAGGAGGGTGTCCAAGGAGGGGTACCTGCAAAGTCTGGCAGCCAATGTGTTCTGATCCTCCCCACGGCAGGCCACCAATGCCAGGCAGACAGATGCCTGGGGGAAGCCTGTAGCCCTCATCTCTGACCTGTTTTGAAGGCTCCCAAGTCTGCGTCTGAAATCCAGTGTGCTAACTGAGCAAGTTCCCCGCTCCAACTCCAGGTCACAATCCTGCTTAAAGTTTTGAAAGCAGTTCTGCTGAAATAATAATAAAAACAACAAACCCACTGTCGTCAAGTCAGATCTGACTCATAGTGCCTCCTCTTTGGGTTTCTGAGGCAGTATCTCTTCCAAGGCAGGAGCTCTGGCAGCGTAGTGCCTAAAGGCACTTGACTGCTAACCAGAAGGCTGGCGGTTCAAACCCACCAGCCACTCCTCGGAAGGAAGATGGGGCAATCTACTTCCGTAGTGATACTGCCTTGGAAACCCAAGAAGGGGTCAGGTCCGACTCGACGGCACATAACAACAACAATAATCTCTTCCAAGGAGTGGCTGGTGGGTTTGAACTGCCAGCTTTCTGGTTAGCAGTCAAATGCCTTAGGCACTACACCACCAGAGCTCCTGTGGTTATTGCTTAAAATGGCCTGAGAATGACCACTCCCCTCATACCACTGTTCCCAAGGGCAGGGCTGCCAGCATTCCAGTGTGAGCTCACATGGGCAGACTCTAGAGGAAGGAGCGATGCTGGGAGTCAGGCTGGCCAGACTGGCTTTTGGCTTTGGTAACTGACTTAAGCTTTCTAGAGATGGTTTCCAATGAGATGTGATGAGGGTTACATGAGCCAACATACATGAAAAGTCCAGGACATGGTAAGCATCCAACACACGTTAGCTCTCTTTCCAGGTGCAACTTGGGAAGTAGGTTTCGGAGCGATCACTCTCAACCTCACCCCAGCAAACTCACTCCTTAAAAATCTTCGGCAGCTCAGTACAGGGAAACTCAAACAGAAACAGAAGTCACTGAGAGCAGGAGAACATAGCTCCTCCAACAGGAGAGTCCCAACACTGACGCTGCACAGAGTAAAATGTCATTCATTAAACATGTCTTCATTTAGGTCAGCTGACACTCATGCCAAAGCTATTTGACTGTAGAAATTATAAAAGTACTTTGAAAATGCATTTTTAGATAAAATAACAAAAATACTTAAACGCGTCTCCCCCGCCAAATGTTTCACGTAATCTAAAATCATGAATTGCCGAGCTTCATTTTATTTGCTGTCAGTTAAAACACGGGTCATTTACAACCTCGTCTCCAAAAATTTTGGTTGGATGAGAATCCTAAAATGCATGTATTCTCTTAAGGTTGCTCAGAGTCGTCACTGTGAGAATCAGTGCACAGCCATAGTGCTGAGCAGAGGTGTTTTCTGGGTCAAGAACTGTCCTTTGGTGCACAGACACTCCCGACCTGCTGGGCCTCGACTGGTACGTGCCCCTCCAGCTCCCCCTTCAGTTTCCACTGGCCTGTTCTGCTGCCCTCAGTGCGCCTGCGTTCCAGCGGGCAGCCCTCCTCCTTTGCCATTTTCCCTGGGCTTGAAACCAGGTAACTACGTAGGTCAGAAACACACTCACATTTTAGTGAAGAGTGAGATTCCTGAGATCTCACCTATGAGGAAAGTGCAAGAAACCCTGTGACCTCTCTTCTGGCCATTCAAACTCAGTTTTATGTGATGCGATACTCTGCCAGAGAAGTGACCTGTAGACAAATGACATGTCACCACTACTCCCCAAACTGTACCTGTCTTTAGAAGGCTATGAGGAGGGTTGAGTGAGAGAATGGCAGTAACAGCACTTCACAAGAGCAAGGCCTGTGAAGCGGATCGCCTCTCCTTCTATCTATAAAGAAACACACACAGATGGCTAAATTCAATCAACCCCAAAGTTTTATTTAATTTAAAGTTTTAAAAGGCAGTGGTTAAGCACATTTTCTATTTCTCTCTCTATGTATGTATGTATATATATACATATACATATACATATACATATATATATATATTTATGGAAACCAACCCCTTCCCAACTTCAGCCACTGATCAGCTAGGCCCACTGTCTACTGCATGATTCATCATCTTCTTCGTATGACCAATTCTAAAAGTCAAAATGAACCACCTCAATCAGTTTAACAGTAACTATTTGTGTTTCTTATTTTTTAAATAAATAAAGTTACCATTAAACTGATGACATATGGTAGAAAGGTAGCACACACACACACAGACACATAGACACCGGCCCCGACTTAGACCATGTGACGAATGAGTGGCCTGTATGTACAAGTGGTGCTGCCGCCTCCCCACCCCCAGCAGAGGCCAGGGAAGACCGCCAGTGCTCAGGGAGGTCTTTGTCCCCACTGCTCGGCCAGAGGATGTGTGTTCCTGGCACCCCGAGTTAGACCTCAGAACACAGGCTCCCCATACAAAACACATACAGACGGTGGTCCCGTCCCGCGGTACTAGTGTTCAGGTACGTTAGGGAATAAATAGGCATTCGTAGCTGCCTGGTAACTAAACCATCATTTATCACTTTTTACAGGGAGAAACATATTCTGAAGTTCTCAGTGAGTGACATACAGAGTATAATCAGTTTGCGAGTCTGGGGCCCTGTGTGTGTTTGTGTGTGTATATTTCTATATATTCATAAAAAACTAAAATGAAGAGTGGTGCTAGGTTCCTGGAGCAGCTGCTTGGCTTCCGTTGTGTCAGTCCTGACCAACAAGTCACTTGCCTTGGCCCTTTTTGACAGCTCAGTCTGTTCCTCACTTGCCTCCATCTGCCTGCGAGAGTCAGAAGGGGCAGCTCACACAAATGACAGGACGACGTGGCTAAATCTTCTGCTAAGCGTCTTGGCAAACAGGACTGCCAGATCCAGCCAGGCTGCTTTACAGAAAGAAGGCCTTCAGTTCCACGCCGAGAAAAGGGAAGTGTCTGTTTCCGCTTCTAGCCCCTGTAACTCCATCTAACTGCAGCTCTGTATGGATGCCTCCATATTGCAAAACACACAGGATCACCCCTTAAATATGCTGGATTCTCAATGAGTAAACCAGTTAATGTGTTTCTAGCCAAAGCAAGGGCATAAATGTTTTAGAGAAAAGATCTCCCTGGAGCTACAGAGAAAGATGCCAATAAAAGCAGCACTGCGAGTCCAGCAGGTGACACGCTCAGTCTGTGTCCGAGCTGGTCTCCTCGATGACCGAGTACTGGTGGAGCGCTTCCTCCAAAGGCGTTATTGTCCCATCGGGCTTTAGTCCCATTGGTTTAAGCAACTCCTCTCTGGAAAAGGAGATAAAATAGAAAAGAAAACAAGTATTCACCAGCATCACACACACACCCTTCTCCCACCCAGATCTACAGCCTTTAAAAAAGAAAAGTCTTTAAAAACCGAAGTATTTTTCTTCAAGTTCTCTGTGTGTTTGTAACAGGAGAGATGAAAGGGGCATGGAAAGAAAGAGAGGGAGCTAACGGACCTCACTCATACAGGCCAAACCTACCAAGCCAATGAGAAGCATGAAAAGTCAAGGTCTAAATGGCTCAGGGCAAGGAGCAGCTCTCTTCTGTTTTTAATAATTAGCTTTCCTTCTCTCCCGTTTATAGATTCATTTTGTTTCACTGGAGCTGAAGTTGCCCAAACTTCACTTGCCCCCAGCAGACCAGGCAGACAATTAAACGGCTAATTAATACACGTGCTTTCACTCAATGGCCTAACCGATCAGCTCTTGATTCTCTCCCACACAATCTCTCCTGACACATAAGTTCGTGCTCAAGCAGATGGCCTTCCTCAATTTTCCCCCTCCCTTTTCTTTCCTTCTCTCTTTTTTTAATTTAAAAACAAAACAAAACAAAAAAACCACCATTGCTTTTGTTTGTGGCAGTTTAATTATGGGATTGACAGCCATTTTAATCTCTTCAAAGCTTCCCAACTGCCTCTTTTCAGCTAATCTAATTATATCTACTCCACAAGTTACAGCCTCACCTAAAGATGATTAATTTTTGATTAAGCCAATCAAAAAGCATTAGGAAAGATTTATTTAATCTTTCCAGGCTCCTATTTATCACATGGCAATTATGGCAAATGTACCTGTTGAGTTGACTTAACTCCAGTCCTCCTCCCACCCTCCAAAGGTCAGCAGTGCACCTTATGAGTGGCCTTGAAAAGGTACATGAGTGTCTCATGGAAATGGGCATCAACCCTTGGAGATGTATCTATCTACGAGCAAGAACCTGTGTGGCAGCAGCCAGAATGCTGGCATTTGAAGTGAAGGGAAAGCAAACTTGCTCCTCCCTGCCTCCTTGCTGTCACCATACTAGGGCAGCACAAAGAGGGGCTCTCTTCAGGGAGGGGCCCGCCACACACCAGTGTGATGGTGCTGGAGGCACAGAGACATGCTGGGGAGGGCTGAGAACAGCTCAGTGGTCCTGGGATGAGCCACAAGGAGCCTCGCCAAGCAGCTCTGGCTAGCATGGGAAGACCATTTCTGAGAGTTTGAAAAATATGAGAAATGGGGATGGCGAATGGCTAAGCGGAGGCTCCTGGATGCTATAAAGTAGATCAAGAAATGGGATCATTAATCATAGACTTTACAGTTGGAAGGAGCTTTAGAGATCATTTAGTCCAACCCCCTTATTTAATAAAGGAAACTGAGTGACTCACCCAAGGTCACATATCTAGTGGCAGAGCAGGAGGTGGGCCACAGTTCTCCCAAGTCCCAGTCCAGTGTTCTTCCCAGCACACCACATGGGGCTGGATGAACTGCCTAACTGCCATGGAGGAGCACACTCTGCGTTCATCTGTTTGATAACCACCACGTGCCAGGAACCATGTCATATAATGGGGAGGAAAGGCAGAGTGGGCACAGCTGCTGTGCTTCAAGAGCAGGTGAAACAGATCTACGAGAAGAACTTAAAGGGGATAAACGCTAACAGAACTGTGCACAGAGAACTGTGTGACAGCTGCTGAGACGAAGCCCAGACCGAAATGCCTGAGAAAGGTGAGGAAGGCACCACCAACGAGGGGTAAATGAGGTGTTGTCTGCTGACCTTTTCTGATTGCATGAATTCACCTTCTGTATCTCTGTGCCCACATGAAGCTATGACATGGCCCAGTGCTTGGGAATGGCGATGTCTGGTAAGGGAGCAGCAGGAGAGGAGGCTGCAAGGGTAGTTTGGGGCCCAACAGTTATGGGTCTTAAATGCCAAAATAAGGAACTTAGATTTTATCTTGTACAGAGTACCTGATGAGGTTTGTTTTACAGAAAAGTAACTATGGTAGCAGAGTGGCAGACTCACTGACATAGGGAGAAGTGGGAAGCAGGAAAAAAAAAAGCTATTAGGAGGTCATAATAGTGCAAGTGAGAAGAGAGCGAGCTGATGACCCACTGGAAGGGCAGGGGGTTGGTGAAGAACAGTAAGGAACAGACTGGGCACAGTAGGTGCTCAATAAATATAGAACACTGGCCATAGCATAAATGTACAATGGTAGGGAACTATCTATCGGGAATCAGCTTATTTTAACTGTAATTATTTCCCTATGGTTTCTAGCTTGGATGACCAACTGGCAGTGGTACCATTCACTGGATGAAGAACACAGGATATGGAGTGGGTTTGGTGGGGAGATGCTAGTATCTTTTAGGACACAAAGAGCCTGAGGAGCTTGCCTGACAGCTAGGTAGAAGCGCTCACCAGACGGTTAGACACAGTCTGTTTCCATCAACACTCTGCTTCACCACTGATGAGCTCTGTGGCTGTTGTCGGGTGCCGGTGAGCCAGTTTCCACTCACAGCAACCCCATGTGCAACAGAACACAACCCTGCCTGGTCCTGGGCCACCCTCACACTTGTGCTGTGCTTGAGTTCCCTGCTGCACACACTGTCTCCATCCATCTCGTTAAGGGTCTTCCCCTTTTTTGCTGACACTCTAGTCCACCAAGCAGATTTCCTTCTACAGGGACTGGTCCCTCCTGACAACATGGCCAAAGTATGTAAGACGAAGTCTGGCTATTCTCCCTTCTAAGGAGCATTCTGGCTGTACTTCCTTCAAGGCAAATTTGTTCTTTCTAGCAGTGCATCATACATTCAGTATTCTTCGCCAACACTGCAATTTAAATGTATCAATTCTTTTGTGGTCTTCTTTATTCATTGTCCAGATTTCATATGCATATGAGGTGATTAAAAACACCATGGCTTGGGTCAGGTGCCCCTTAATCTTCAAAGTGACACCTTTGCTCTTAAACACTTTACAGGGGTCTTTTGCAGTAGATTTGCCCAATGCAGTATGTTGTTTGATTTCTTGACTGCTGCTTCCATGGCTGCCGATTGTAGAACTAAGTAAAATGAAATCCTTGACAATTTTAATCTTTTCTACATTGATCATACTGTTGTTTACTAGTCCAACTGTGAAGATTTTTGTTTTCTTTCTGTTGAGGTGTAATCCACACTGAAAGCCGTAGTCTGTGATCTTCATCAGTAAGTGTTTCCAGTCATCTTCACTTTCAGCAAGCAAGGCTGTGTCATCTGCATATTGCAGGTTATTGATGAGTCTTCCTCCAATCCTGATGCTGCATTCTTCTTCATATAGTCCAGCTTCTTGGATTATTTGTTCAGCATATGTATATTTTACAATGTAAACTTTCCTAGTTCTGCCTAAGGCACTTGACTGCTAAGCAGAAGGCTGGCGGTTCAAACCCACCAGCCACCCCTCAGAAGGAAAGCTGGGCAACCCACTTCTATAGTGATACCACCTCAGAAACCCAAGGAGGGGTCCTTATGAGTTGGATCCGACTCAACGGCATTGAGTTTTTTTGAGTTAGTTCTAACTGATTGTGCTGAAGGACTCTGTGATATTGGACACGAAATATGATAATTAATAAGAAAAGGGGACAACATGCTGGGAATGGAACATTAAGAAAATTCAACAGTCTAAAGGGGTTGGTAGGAGCTCTGGTGGTGCTGTGGTGAAGGCATTGGGATGCTAAACCAAAGGTCTGTGGTTCAAACCCACCAGCTGCTGCACAGGAGAAAGAGGCGGCAGTTTACTTCCACAAAGATTTACAGCCTTGGAAACCCTATGGGAGTCACTATGAGTTGGAACTGACTCAATGGTAGTATTAAGGAGTTGCTGGAGTGAGGGCATAGTCAGATGGGGTAGGGGATAAAGAACAGGGACTGGCAGAGACAAGAATGGCAGATGGGACTAGAGGAATTCTACCAGGGACTGTAATGCACAACTAGGTGGCTATACCAACCAAGCCTTAGCCTAATACTGCTGCATCTCTTTGATAACAGAATAATATTGGTTGTCAACCATACAAGCTAGATAAAGTATCTAGCACTTTCTTAGTCAAATATAAGAAGAATCTTTTCAAATCAAATCTGTTGGCTTCATCCTCACCCCTTAATCAATTTCGTAACAGAAATAACTAAGAACAGTACATTTGTTTTATTGCTGAACTATGGGAATTTATCTACAGGGCCCCTATATTTTAATTCTCACTTGTGAACTGATTCTTCTCAAACACTGATTTTTTGGGTGCTTTGTATCACACCCCTCCATTAAAATGGAAGCTCCTTTGAAGTTATGGATTATTTTCTTTTTCATGTCTCCAGGAGATACCTGGGCTTATTGACATTTCTGTAGGAAAAGTGTCAGTGGTAACGGGTCACATAACCATGCATTTGTACAAATGAATCTAGACAGTGATGTGTTGTAGTGGAAAGAACAACAAGATGTGGAGTCAGGAAGTCTGTCTGAAGTCCTGGCTGTTCTAATTACCAGCTGTATGATCTTGGGCAAGTCTGAGTCTCAGTTTACCTCTCTGTGAAATGGGGATGATGATGATAATACTAGCTCTACTTACTCCCTAGTGATGATGTAAGGAGTAATACAGCAGCAGCAGCAGCAGCAATTGTAGTAAAAATAAAAACAATGCAGACAAAGAGTTCTGTGAACTATAAAGAACTTCTAAACATTAGTTATTATTATTGTGCTGTAGAGAGAACAGCTTTAGAGTCAGACGCACCCGAGTTCTAATCCTCACATTACCACTCACTAGCTATGAACCCTGAACTCTCTCAACATCAATTTCCTTACAGAACTAGGACAGGAATACCCACCTCACTGAGTTGTCACAAGGGCAAAAGGCCATTATACATATAAAGTGCACAGTGCAGTGCTTGGAATGTAGTTGAAGCGACAGGTTCCAGTTCCTGTCCCTTATTTGCTTAAGGAAAGTTTCCCCATCCCTGCTTAGGGCACTCTCTGGGAGTAAGCAGAAGAAG